AAACAAGGCGCTTTGTCATTATTCTCATTAAGTTTTCAGTGCTCAAGAATGGAGCCCAGGGCTATGCGCACGCTAGGCAAATGCTCTACCACTGAGCTCTGGAAGCTGGGAGCTGCCTCCCCATTACCCATGTGACCTTTAACACCTCAGCTTACCTTTCTGAAGCTCAGCAGTCTCACCTGGAAAGGAAATGACACTGGTCACCTGTCTGAGCTTGTTTGCTCATCTGCAAAGCGGTACAGGACACACCTGCCTTGTGAATCTCCTGGCCTTGAAGGGTGTGCTGTCTGACACCTAGCTCGGGCTGGACATTCCCCAGGAGCCAAGCTCTTCAGCTGCTGGGGGACGCACTCCTATCTCAAACCTTTATTTCTGAGGTGGTTTGCAAACCACTGCGGGAGAGGAATAGGTAAAATCTCTGTCTTCCAGGGTAATTTCTCAAACCGAGGACATTCAGAAGTATAAAAAGATACTTGAAACCACAGGTTTGTGACTACAGTACAACTTCCTGAAGGACAATTTGTGTGCTTACATTATAAACTTCATTGGAGATGTTTGAGAAATACTATTGTCAAAGCTTAAAGCTATATAGAAGGGTTAGAATAAACATGTGACTATTTAAAATGTGGGAAAATTAATAAATGTAAAAAAGTGATTTTTAAAAAATAATTCTTTTGATCCCCAGTAGTCAAAAAAGAAAAAAAAATCATCAACTTAGACATCTTAGAATTCAGAAGATGATAAAGAAATGAAACTAGCTGGGCATGGTGGCATAACTTGTATTCTCAGCTGTTGGTTGGTTCAATCCCCAGCACTACAGAAGGAATTTTTTTTGGTCAGGTGTTATGGCTTGTATTTAAATGTGCCTCCAAAGCCTCATGGGATCATAGGTAGAACTTTTTGGAGGTGGCTGGATCTAGAGTGTGTGATGCTGAGATTAAGGGTGTGATGCTAGGATTGATTCACGGTGCAATGCTAGATATGAGTATGAGTGCTGGGTAAGTAGCCTGGATAGACTATAAGGGACAGAAAGGGGCTGCTGTTGTTGCTTGCAGCTTGCTACTTCACTGCTGGCTGCCTTCTGCCTGCCCTGCTTTGCCATGAGCTGTTTCTCCTCTGTGATGCCCTCTGCCGTGCCACCCTGCCTTGGAGCCAGCAGACTGTGGACTTAAACCTTTACAAACTGAGCCAAAATAAACCTTTCCTCATCTAACTTTGGGTGTTGAGTATTTTGTTTCAGCAACAGGAAAAGTAAGGCACCGGGCATGGCAGTGCACACCTGTGATCCCAGCATTCAGGAGGCTGAGGCAGGAGAACCACCTCAAGTTCAAGGCCAACCTGGGTTATATAGTGAGTTCAAGCCCACCTGAACTGCATAATGAGACCCTGTCTTAAAAAAAACCAAGCCAGCCAGGGATTTAGCTCAGTGGTTCCGCCGCCTGCTTTCCAAGTCCAAGGTCCCAAGTTCGATCCCCAGTACAAAAACAACAAACACCCAAGCCAAACAAAGAAAAAAATTCAAGAAACAAAAAAGAATTTTAAAAAATTATAAATAAGCATAGAATTTATATTTTCATATCAACTGAAATAATCATAAGGATTTTTTTTGAGACAGGATCTCACTATATAGCCCAGCAGGCTGGCCTCACACTCTCAGCGATCCTCCTGCCTCATCCTTCTGACTACTGTGATTACAGGCATGTGTCAACAAGACCAGCTCATAAGGATTTTCTTGTTAATCTTTCAAAGTATGAGCTACACAAAAAGAGTTCCTGTATTGAGCCAACGTTTTTGCTGGGATTGAGCCTGGCACATATGCCAGGCAAGTGCTTTACTGCTGAGCTACACCTTCTGCACCAGTGTCAATAAATTCTGGGTCATGAAAATATTTTTCTTTTACTATGAGGGCTGGTGATGTAGCTCAAGGATGGAGTCCTTGCCTAGCATGCAGGAGGCCCTTGGGTTCAATCCCCAGCACTGCTGCCCCAATAGAACAGCCATTATGTTAGATTTGACTTGTTCGTAGTCATTTTAGGCCTTTAGCATCCATGTTCGCAAAGAATACTGGCCTAGGAGTTCCTTTCCTTTCCTTCCTCTCAAACAGACTTGCTCAGTGTTTAAGTCTTTTTTGTACTGGGGACTGAACCCAGGGCTTCTTTACTGAGCTATTCTCAGCCTTTTAAAAAAATTTTAAGACAGGGTCTTATTAGTCACTAACTTGCTCAGACTAGGCTGGAAATTTGGATTCTCCTGCTTCAAAGTGCTGGAATTAGGGTGTGTTCCATTTTGGGGGCACTTGACTTTTTTTTTTTTTTTTTTGAGACAAGGTATATGTAGTCCCAGGCTGGCCTCGAACTCACAGCGATCTTCCTGCCTTAGCTTCCTAAGTGCTGGGTTTAAAGCATGTGCCACCATGCCCAGCTAGATACTTTAATCAAAATTAATATTTCATCATTTTTATAAAAATGGTTTTAAGGCCAGGCATGGTGGCACACACCTGTAATCCTAGCACTTGGGAGGCTGAGGCAGGAGAATTACTGAGATTTCAAGGCCAGCCTTAGCTACATAGTTTACAAGGGCCAGCTTGAAATGCAAAGTGAGACCCTGTCTCATAAAACCAAAAGAAAGAAAAAATGGTTTTGTTAAGTTGCTATTAGGAGTTGAGCCTGGGGCTTTTGTGTGTGTTTTTGAGACAAGGTCTTGCTAGTTCAGGCTGGCCTTGGATTCAATATGCAGCCCAGGCTGGGCTCCAACTTGCAGTGATCCTCCTGCCTCAGCCTCCCAATTGCTAGGATTATAAGCATGTGCCACCTGCCTGGTGAATCTAGAGCTTTTGCACTGAGCTACACTCCCAAACTTTTTTGATAGGATCTTGCTAAACTGCCCAGGCAGGACTTGAACTTGCAGCAGTTCTTCGACCTCAGGCTCTCAAGTGGCTGGGATTACAGGTGTGCACTGTGGCATCCAGCTGCTATGAAAGCACTGTATTTCATTTCTTTTACCCTAAATTGTCATATATAGAAGAATAATGTTTTCCCTAATACCCACATGAGACAGTCCCAAACTTGTTCCAACTCTCCCTCAGTATGCAATTCCAACATTCATGCATGACGGTATGTCTAAGACTGGGAATCACTGCTCTAAACGTCTGATTAAAAAAAAAAAATTTTTTTTTTTCAGTACTGGGGAGACAGATGCAGCGTCACTGAGCTAAATCCTGGCCCAAAATTTCACGGAACACTGCAGCGAAGTTGGCACAAATTGGTCTATAATAACTGAACCTGTGCAATAAGTTCATGGTGATTCGTGACTGGAGATAGAAGCTTCTAAAGGTACATCATGTAGGTGGAAATAACAAGGCAAAGTGTGTCTGCTACCTTTTGTGTGAAAAAAGAAGGGTGGGATCAAAGTATATTTGCACCTATCTCAAGGGCACCAGTTTGACCCCTGGTACCAAGAACAAGAATAAAAAAGTATATTTACACCTGTGTGCAGGATCCCGTGTGGCTAGGGTAGGGGCAAAGGCCAGGGACACGGTGGGATGAGAAGGCCATGCAAGGCTGGAGGCTTCGGCCTCAACAAGAAGGGCAACTCAGCCCGGAGGAGCTGCACCAATCGCTGAACCCGAAACCCCAGGGTCGCAGGTGTAGAAGTCCCCTGGCGAATGACGAGGCTGCAGCACACGGGAAATCCGCCTCGCTGGAGACAGATCAGGAGCAGAGGGAAAGGGTGTGGGCTGGTGGTGGCTTTCAGCTCGCACTCCGTAGCCACCAGGGGGCAGTCAAGCCCGCTCCCGAAAGCGGGCAGGGCAGGGCTGGGTCCCTGCGACCCCTTCCCGAACTCCAGCTGCGACCACGTGGAAGTCAGCCTGCCCCACCCCCAAACCCGGGCCTCCCTTCTGTTGGGGCATCAGACGAGCGGGGCATTATAACCATTCGGCGCATGTTTTAGAAGGGGCGAGCCAGGGCACAGCGAGATCAGGTAACCTGCCTCCCCCGCGACACAGCACTAGGCACGGTGACCCGGGGCACACATCCTGCCCGTCACCCTTAGAGCCAGAGGTTAATCAAGCCCTGGCTTCCTCACTGCACCTTCTCCACAAGGCACAGAGGGAGCTTTGGGGGCCCACTTGCCCCGAGAGATGGAGACACCAGCTTCCCTCGGTCTGCAGAAGGGCCCGGCCGACCCGCGCCCGCTGTGCTGCCTCGTACGGTTACCCTTCCCTTCCATGCGCCTCAGGCCCTGGCTTGTGCGTGCTTCTTCCAGGAAGCCCTCCCTGCCTCCCGCCTCGCAGCCCCACAGCAGCCTGGGGTTGTGCTGGCCTCACATGTGCGCATCACCTGTATTTCTAATGGGATCACTATTCTACAGCCAGTCCTCTTGCTCTTGTGATCTCCATCCGAAACTAGGGACCTACCCTAAAAACCTTCCCTCCGTCTGCCTGCCTCTCCCGTCCTTCCTAAGTCCTTCACATCCTGCCAGGATGCTACCATGGCTTCCTCACGGCCATCCCTTGTCTGACAGCAGCCAGAGCCCTGCTATCGTCCATGCCCCACTAGAATGGACACTCCAAAAAGGCAAGGGTTTTGTCTGCTGCAAAATCCCTGGTGCCAAGGTTTGTGCCTGGTGTGGAGCAAGGATCAGTAAACACTTGGTGCGTGAGTGGCTACTAGACTGCAGCTCCTGAAGGTGCAAGTGTGCCCCGATTGCACGTAGTCCACGTCCAGCAGTCAGTGCTCATAAAAACCCCATCAACGTACAGGTGCAGAGATTCAGGCCCAGAGGGAGGAAGGGACAGGGAGCTCTGAGGGTAGCAGAGTCAGGAGCAGGACAGTTGTCCTGCAGCCGTCAGCCAACCCAGCTGCTGCTCTTCTCCCCATCCAAGCACTTGAGAGTCCAGGCCCTTTGTTCACCGAATCAACACAGTTTATTACTGAACTGCACTTTCACCTTCACACAGACTATTTCAGAGCTGGAACAAGTGTAGGGGGTGGGTCAGGGGAGGGACAGGTGCCCCTCAGGAGCCAGGACCCCCAGGCCGGCGTCCTGGGCCAGGGCAGGGGAGGGAGCATTAGGCTGCCAATCTCCGGGCACCAGCTCTCCACGTGCACACGCACAGCAAGCCAGCAGCTCCTCACACATAAATACAGACACGCTTAACAAAAATAGTATATCATTTTCACAAGGAATAAAAACTAGTCTCGAATATGTACAGCAGAGAGCCCGGGGTGGCCAGTGCTGTGCTGGGACCCCCAGGGATGAGACAGGCCAAGGGTGGAGCAGAGGAGAGGAGGCCTGAAGGGCTCCTGGCCAGGCCACTCTGACCTTGGCAGCCCAGCTGCCCAGGCTGGACGGGGGTGGGGCACAACCTTGCCTGGCCGGGCAGAACAGGCCCTGGCCAGCCTCACCCGATCCCCGCCGTGTTCCAGGCTCTCCTTCCTGCCCTTCCTGCCTGAGGTAGGGAAGACCCCAAGGCTCCCACAGCTGCTCCCTGTAGCTCCCCTTCACTTTTGGGCTGAGGCCCCTGGGCCTATGGGCCCCCATGGGCAACAGCCAAGGCCAAGATGCCACAGGCTGATCTTGCAGGAAGCGAGGCAGCTGAGGCCATAAACAGCTCTGGGGCACCTGTCTTGGGCCCAGTTGGTCCCTCAGTCATGGTCATGGAAGCCTGGGGCGGGGAAGAGAAGGAACTAGAGTGATGCTAAACTGCAAGGGCCATCCTAGCGTGAGCATGGGGCGCTTCTTGCAGTGACAGCCCCCCCCAACAGGGCTGGCCTCTATCTGGAGGCCTCTGGAGAACATTCAGACTAGGAGTGGGGACTTAGGACTGGCCAGACATGGGGAGGAAGTCCTGGTCCTTGATTCTTTATCCCAAGCAGCCTGAATTCCAAATTAGTCAAAAGTGGCTTCTAAATGGCTCTTGGGGGTGGTGATGGAAGAAGGCCAGGTCCTGAGGGGGATGGGAAATGATCAATTCTGAGACCACAAACATCAAAACAAAGGCAATCTAGTCTCTCTGGGGACAAGGTTCAGAAAATTCCAGCTCCCTGCCAGGAAAGCATTCTCAGAGGCTAAGGGTAATAAGGGTTCCACCAATTAGGCAGGACCCTCCTGCCCCTAACCCCTACCCCGCACCAGCCTCCATGGGGCAGATTCTAGGAAACTGGATTTTGAGGCCAAGAGAACTGAGGTGTGGGGGAAGGCAGCTCTCACAGAAGCGTGGTAGATTCTAGAAAACTATTTTCAAGGGACCAGGTCTAGACCTGGGTCTAGACCCCTGGGATGGGCAGGTGGGCAAGGACTGCATGTAGTGGTTCTCCTGGTTGCAAACGTGGCTGGATGGAGGATGTGATGGGGGCAAAGCAGGGGGTGGGAGGGTGACGGGTGGTCAGTGTCTGGTCATTTCCGACTGAAGAGTGAGCCCAGCAGAACCATGCCAGCCACAGTCATGCCCGTCAGGAACCAGCGGTTGAAACGCTCCTGGCCCTTCCGGCTTTCAGCTGCTGCATTGTTCCCGTAGAGTTCCACAAAAGTGTCCTGCAAGGGAAGAGAAAGGAAGGCACCATTGATTCCTCAGATAGTAATGTGCAGGGGTGGGAGAAAGGGCTACCTGCATGCAGAACCTTGGGGATCTGAGGGCTGATGATCCCTAGCTGGGGAAACAGGTACAGAGTGGTCAGAAGGTTGGGAGTGGTACCTACTCCAGAAGCAGAGAAAGAAAAGAGGGAGAGCTGATAGAAGGTGGGTAGTGGGAGCAGAGTGCCTGCCAGCGAGGAAGGGATGGGGGACACAGCTGGGAGCCACAGAGGCAGCTGGAGTTGACTCTGAGAGCAGGGCCAGGGCTGCACCTTTCCACATTTGCAGAGAGCGGGGAAGGGACAGAGTACATCCTCAGAGCCGCTCAGAGGAAGATTCAGAGTAGAGTGGGTCTTGGGCCTTTCAGCCAGAGGTCCCTTCTTCCCCTGAAGACCACCTATGACTGGGACAGGTTCGTGAATAGGAGAGCAGGGTAGAATAGAGCAGGCAAGGATAACGCAGGACCAGAAGGTATCCATGAAGGTGTCCACAAGCCCATCCAAGTCTCCCAGCCCAGGGTTGGGGAAGGTGAGAACCAGATCTCTGCTCTGCAGCTCTGTCAGGAGAGAAGCACATGACACAGGAAGGGAGGAGCTGTGGGCTAACTTACGCCGCCCAGCGAACCGGAGGCTGGGAGCAGCCAGCTTCGTGCCCACTTCACCCCTTAACCTTGACAGTGCTGTGATGCAGCTGTTCCTCCCCATGTGCAAACCAGGAAGCTGGCACCCTGACCTGACCAAGGTCACCCTACTTGGATCACCAAGCTTGGTCTGCAACAGAACCAGAATCCAAACCTGGTGCCCAAGCACTCAAGAATGCTGTAGAATGAACAGGTCATAAGCTGGCTCCAGAGCCTTCTGAACTCCTACACAGGCTGACACTCCCTTAAACAGGGCCTGCCACGGGCAGGTGGCCCAGGTCCCATGTTGCATGCTCACACGGGAGCCCTAGTCCCCTGATGTCCTCAGTGCATGCTCCCTGCACAGACCTCTGAAAACACAGATCAGATCCCAGGGCTTAAAATCCTGGGGCAGCTCCCCTGCGCTTATTGGCTGGGGATTTAGCTCAGTAGCACCTGTCCCAAAAGCACAAGGTCCTGAGTTTGAGCCCCAATACTGGGGGTGGGGAAGCAGTGGTACTAACCGTGTCAGCAAGGAAGCAGCAGTGCCCATGAGCCCTGACTGAGCCACCACTGAGGTGGGGAAAGGACCCTCCACTTTCCCAAGGTTTCCCCACACAACTAGAATCAAATCCTTACTCCTTGTCGTGGCCAGCCTGGGCCAGTGTGACCTGTGCCCCCCCCTTCACTCCAGTCACACTGGCTCTGCTGCTGATCCTGCTGAACACCTGCCCAACACCTGCCCCACACCTGCCCCTCTCTGCCTCTAAACTTGTCTTGTTCTCCTTCTCAGCACTTTCCATAAACAGATCGCACACTTGCTCTGTTGTGGTTTGTCTCCTGTATGAGAAAGTCTTCAGTGAGTGCCGAGATGCTGTCTGGCTCCTACAGACTCAGAACACTGTCTGGCAGAGTCACATGCTGCATGATGATGTTTTGGTCAATGACACTTACATGACCGTGGCCCCACAACATTAAAATGGAGCTGAAAACTCCTATTGCCTGGCTTAGTGAAGCTGCCGCCCAGTGAGGGTACAGTGATGCATTCCTCACATGTCTGTGGTAACCAACCTACCGCAATGTAGCCGTAGTCTGGCTTAGTGAAGCTGCCGCCCAGTGAGGGTACAGTGATGCATTCCTCACATGTCTGTGGTAATGTAGTGTAAACCAACCTACCGCACAGTTATGCATAGTGCATAAGACTGGACAGTGATAACAAATTTATAATACTATATTTTTTTGAGACGGGTTCTCACCATGTAGCACAGGCTAACCTTGAATTTGCCTGCCTCAGCCTCCTAATTGCCTGAATTAGTTATAATATCACCATGCCTGACTTTAGGCGAAATTCTTGAAAACATATTTTCTTTCTTTCTTTCTTTTTTTTTTTTTAAGAAAGGTCTCACTATGTAGTTCAGACTGACCTGGAGCTCACTATGTAGCCCACGCTGGTCTCGAACTCACAGCGATCCTCCTGCCTCAGCCTCCCGAGTGCTGGGATTACAGGCATGTACCACCACGCCTGGCGAAAGAATATTTACTTAATTGTAAAAAGTGCTGTACCTAAAAAAAAAAGTAGGTATCATAAGTCAGGTATGTCTGTAACACCAGCTACTCAAGAGGCTGAGGCAAGAGGATCACTGGTTTAAGCCCAACATGGGCAATTTCTCAAGATCCTGACTCAGAATGAAATAAAAAGGGCCGGGGACACAGCTCAGTGAGAAGTTCTGGGTTCAATTCCCTGTACTGGGGAGAAAGTTTACCACAGTCAGCTGCGTTAGGCTGGCAGCAGCTTATGTTTGCTGCATCTCAATTGCATGGGTTCGTGTGCCACCATGTAGGCCCGTTAAGTATATTCTCCAATGTTTGCACAACAGTGAAATGGCCTAATAACACAGTTTTCCGTGTATATTCCAGCCGTTAGGCGATGCATGATTGTACATGAGCAGAACAAATGTATCGTTTGTCTACTAAGCACCAGACATTGTCACTGCCTTTCTCCTTCATCAGAGTTCACATAGTCAGAGATGTGAGAGCTCCATTTCAAAGGCAAGATGACTGAGGCCTAATGTAGGAAATGGCCAACTAAGACAGCAGAGCCAGGGTTCAACTGTGGGACAGTTACAGAGTGAGCATTCTGGCTGGGTCTATAGCTCAGGGGCAGAGTGCATGCTTAGCAATCCCCAGAATTCCCCCAAACCCAAACAAACCAAGGCAAATCAAAGTGAATGCTACTGTAGCAGGACACTTTCCTTATGTGCTGGGGGTTGGGAACCTGCTGACAGGATTCTAAGGAAAGGGAATGTGGAGCAGGGCTAAGGTGGAGTCACTAAAAACATACATGAGGAGCACAGGCAAAGTAAGGCCACAGCCAGAAGGCTCCAGTTAACCCTTGGGGCCAAATGTTCCCCAGGGAAGGAGCAGGAGAAGCCTGGTTCCTTTTGTGAGAACTTTCCTGAAGTTCACGGCTGGCAGCCACAGGACATTTTCAGCCCTGGAGCTGGGCTGGAGTGAACAGGCCCCGTCCCTGCAAGACACAATGCGTTCACTGTCCAGGAAGAGACATTCCAGGGTGGAGGGGACATTCTCATCTCAGGGCCACAGAGAACAAGGCACTGACCGGCTCCAGTCCCCACTCAGCCTTCCTGGCCAGGACAATCCCCACTCACTCCCAAGGGTGTGGGTTCTGGGGGCTGCTTTTGCAGAGAGGAGAGCAAAATGCTCTGCTCTTCCAGGGCGGGGGCTGGAGAGGCAGTGGTGTGGGTATATTTAGCCCTCGGTTCACACGACACACTTGGAAACAAACAGCCATTTTCTCAGCGGGCGGCAGCTGTGGATAAATAAACAGGATTGCAAAGCAGCCCTGAAAAGCAGAGATAAGCCCCAACTGCTCCTCAGGTGGCTCCCCCATGTTGGCCAGGCCTGGCATGGGTGGAAGGAGATGAGGTGTAAAGGTGGGTACAGAGAGGTCTTGAGGTCACAGAGGCTTCTGGGAGACCCAAAGGATGGCCTGTATCCTCAGCTTGGTTAGAGCAGTTTCTGTATGGAGCCAACTGCTTCTGTGGGGATCCACGGAGGAATTCTACAGCCCACTGAGGACAGGCAGTAATGACCTCCACAGAGGAGTCATGCACTCCTAACCAGGAAGACCCCAGGAGCCAGCAAAGCCAACTCCCCTGGCCATTCTGCTATTTCCCATAGCCAACTCGTGGGAGAGCATAGACTAGGAACTGTGGGCTCCTGATGCACTTCTCAGGAGAGGCCTGGGCTGGGACCACTTTTAAGGTCCTTCCTGACACTCCCAAGTGTCAGTGGTCTTGGCCACACATAGGAAAAAACCCCACATACTCTTATCTACTCCAGGGTGCTTCACATCCTTGTCTTTTTGCCAACACTGTGTTCTTGAACTGGTTACCCTCTCCACATCTTTCTTCCTCAGTTGGCAAACAGAATTCCATCCACTGTGGAGCTCCCTCTTCCCTGACCACTGTTCCAAGCCCAGGACTGGAGATACGGCAGGAAACAAGGCTTTGTGAGAATTTACATTCTAGTCCATTCTTTTTTTTTTTTTTTTTTTTTT